TCTTACAGTGATGACATTACATGTGTGGAATCTGTGGAGTCTCAGCTTTAAATCGTATATCTTGTTTGTGCAGTTAAGATAGTATTAACTAATAAGGGCATTTCTACCGTGTGTTGTGTGTAAAAAAGCGTTAGCATTAGTTAGCATTGTTTCGCTCAATGCTAATTCAAAGGCTTGGTATTACTCTTGTGTTTTTTCTAGCTAACAATTGTTCTTATTGTCAGTTAGAGGAGTTTCTTACCTTTAAAAGGGTATGAAACATTAATAGTTTCATAAATGTTAAGAAGCCCTGAGACATGTGAGAGAAAAAAAACTGTGGGAGGGGTCCACTGGGGGGGACCTTCGGGCTTAACTGGTTAACAATGATTAATATTTGTAAAGGCTACAGGTGATCTTAAGATGCGTGAGCTATGCTTAGGGACCTACCAGTCAAGATTATTTGTGCGTAGGGGTGCATCATCTGGCGCCTGGTCCTGGTCATCCTCGCCATTGCCCATGCCGTGAACCATCACCTCGGGCTCGGGCTCGAACAAATAAGGACGTAATGGTCCATCGTCTGGCTCAATATTGTCACCATCGTCGCTTACTGAACCGGATTCAGATTCAGTTCCTACAACGACATCTTCGTAGGAAAGCCGAGAGGATGTTTCTGACTCGCTATCATCACTGGATACCTCGTACAATCCTTCTTCTTTGTCTGGTATATTTGCCCTTCCACGTTCATTCTGCATAGACGCCATGGTTTGTTATCGTATCGTCTTCCTAAATTTTCGTCACTTCCGGTTTGGCTGAGTCGAACATTTCGTTTCTAAAAAACTTCGGGGAAGCTGCAATAAAGTGCTTCTAACATGCGTAAGGCAATTATTATATTTTTTTAATCAGGTGTGATTGTTTTGGTACGTAATTATGCTTGTATATAAGTTAAAACGAAACTATTTGAGGTTCCATTTCCACTATCCCTTTAAAGTATGAGAGCACTCTCATAATAACGTAACACAATCAGAGACTGGATATATCCCCCCCTCTCTCTGGTCGCTGAAATGGGGAATTGAAATTACGGGCCAAAAGTTGTATTTACAAGTAGGCCTATTAAAAGTAAGCAGAGGACACCAAACCAACTGAGTCCCGTCTGTCCGCCGCATTTACGCACTGTACAACACACACCTACACACTGTACCACACACACCTACAGCTCCAAAAGCATAAGCCGTTGTGTATTTTATTATGTGAAGCAATGGTCTTAGAAAAATATCGACTCTTTGTTTGTAGATATCTACTAAACTAAAGCAAATAAAGAGAGTAGGCCTGTTATACTGAGTGATATATATTATACACACTGCTCTGCTTTCTACATGGACCTTACAGCTGTTCTCTCTGGAAACATCGCGACGCGATGAAAGCAGTTTCTAAAATAATATCCAGGGGATGCATGCATAGCTGTCATTGGCTGAGATAAGTCCGGCCGTGCGTCACGCCTCCACCGTTCCCGGAAATGCATCCGTGGAGGAGCCGTGGAGGAACCATTAGTGTATCCTCAGTTATAGCTCCTCCAGAGAGCCTCCTCGACGCTCGATGCTCGGTCCTCGGTGTGCATTTAGAGAAATGAGACGTCCTTCAAAATGGCGCGCTGAAATTCATTTCCGGGTCACTACCGGAGGACCGAGGAGTCGAGGAGGGGACATTTGAGTATTGAGAAGCCTCTAAGATAATGATTTTAATGAAGTGCACTTCCATCGAAAAACAGAACTCCCCGGAAGGCTCCGTTGCTTAGCAACCACGGGGCCAAACAAGTGCGTGCAGCAGCTGAGCAGTTGGATTTAGTAATCAGCATAAGGTTTCTAGCATTTCATGTAGATTGAAAACTATAATATTAACTAATCAAATGGCAGGCAAGAAGAAAGAAGCGAGTTTGCAGGTTGGAAAAACACAACATGGCGTCTGTAATGTTGACAAAAGTCAACTAACTTCACGAAGCCCTGATGTTATTTGTTTTTTTGTATTTTTCCAGGCGTCTGTCACAAACCAAGAGCAGTGGGAAGAGATGCTTGCAACCAAAGGTTTAACAGGTAAGAACTTCATATCTAACCTGATTGTAGGTCAATTAGTAAAGCACATTTAATCAACACACTTTGACAAAAGTGATTGGATAAGCAAAGCAGGCGTGATACCTATGCGTGATACTGACATGAACTATACAATATAAGTAAATTAATAAAAGCTTAGCATGTATTGATAAAACCATAAGAAACCATGATAACAGGATGTGATCAGGCATGTCTTTATAAGGATTGGATAGAGGCTAAGGATCTAAGGACATAATTGTTAGTTGCAAACTATTCCACAGATTAAGGCCAATAATGGATGAACTGGGTTCACAGATGTAACCTGGTGTCAGTCCATGCAGGGCTTCAAAAACCATACCACCATAAATCTCCCACATGCAGTTTTGGGGGAACTCCAAATGTGTTTTTTCTTAGCATTGGCCACTCATCCATAAATCCAAGCTCTGTGAAGTTTACAGCTAAAAAGTTGTCCTATGGACAGATACTCCAATTTCCACTTTAAGAGTTTCAGCTCCTTCAGGGTTATCTTTTGTCTCTTTGTTGCTTCTCTGAGTAAAGCACTCCTTGCATGGTCCCTTGGTATTGGTCCTATCTTAAAATGACTAATACAGTTGTGGTGGCATATTCTCTCGTTTTATAATAATGGATTTAATGGTGCTTTGTTGGATCAGGTGTCAGATCCTGTTGCACTAATAATGTGGCTTCTTTTGTAAAGGGGGAAGTGTTCCCAATGCTCTTCAATTTTTTGGAATATTTGAAAACAAGACTGCTTCGTGTTGGTCCATTTCTTACAATCCAAGTAAAAATCCATTATAATTCCCAGTTCTAAATCAACAAAATTACAAAAACACCTAGGGAGTGAGTGCTTTTTCAAGGTACATCAGCACACTCATTAGTATTCCTACCCCCAACCAATTGTGTCATCCATCCCTTACACGCAAAGCCACACAATCACATAGATGACCCAGATCATCCACTCTACCAGAACTTTACCCCCTTTTCTCTGGACACAGATTCCCATGTGCAGGAAGGCCCATTTTGACAAGAGGTTTGTAACTACAGTAAAACGATCATAAAATACGTAACCTTCGCATAAGTTATAAGTAAACCAGTCTGTAGTATGTCAGTTTAAGTCCATCTTCGTATCTATCTGTATAATGTTTTAGAAGCCTGTGTATCGGGGACAGGTGACAACTTGTCCATTTAAAAAAAAAAAAAATCAGCATACACTGGTAACAAGTGAAAAAAAAATGTGAATGTTGACTGTCATGAGTTGAATTTATTGTATGTTGCTGCCACACTGTGTTCACTGGGAAAACTGCAGTTTGAATGCTTGCACCAGTCCACTCACCTTCAATCACACACTTTATATAGACTGTCAATGCTCACACACTGTGTCTGTTCCAGTTGTAGATGTGTACCAACAGTGGTGCGGCCCCTGTCGAGCTGTGGTTAGTCTCTTACGGAAAATAAAGAACGAACTGGCTGATGACCTATTGCATTTTGCCACGGTAAGTTCTAATTAAATGTATAATGTGAACAATTTAAATTTCAAAACAAGAGGAGCCGCCTTAAACATGTTTTTTTGTGTTTGTGTGGTACAGGCCGAGGCAGACAGCATTGCCACTTTGGAGAAGTATCGAGGGAAATGCGAGCCCACCTTCCTCTTCTATGGGGTGTGTGTGTGGTATATACTGTATTTGCCTGCTAGTAAATGCTTGTTTCCATGCTGTGCTTCCTTTGTATAACATTTTCTTTCTCAAGTTATTCAAGTTTATTTCCTGTCTATTTCTTTTTACATGATATCCTGTGTATTATCTTTTCATAGAGTTTGTTTTATTCCTGAGCCTGCTTACATGGACCTAAAGTATTTAAAGCATTTCAATATGTTACCACTTGTTTAGTTGAATTGGATTGTGTTGAATGAACAGGGTGGGGAGCTGGTGGCGGTGCTGCGAGGGGCCAACGCTCCTCTGCTTCAGAGGATAATTGTGGAGGAACTGGCCAAGGAGAAATTGGTCCTGGAGACAGGTGTTGAACGCAAAGGGGTGAGCAGAAATACATAAACATACTTCAATGCAGACATGCCAATTTAGGAAAAGCATGTTGACTTTAATTCTAGGGAAGTATCCCAGTCAGCCATGACAATTTGGAGGTCTTTAAACTTAACGAGCTAGACAAATTCAGTATTTTTTTATTTACTCCTGTGCTTTTCCTTCTATGACATGTCAAATGTATTTCTGTTAAAATGACCTTACACAACAGAGAAAGTTAATCAGCAACTGTTAAGACATTTTATTAATTGCGTTGTTTTTTGCCTTTTATTTAAACTTTTAGAACAGATATATAATAATAATAATGCATTACATTTTTTATTAGAGCGCTTTTACAGGTGCTCAAAGCGCTTTACAAGTACACATTACACATGTAAGAGTCATTACTGCGGACATTACCCACAGGAGCAAATGCGGGTAAAGTGTCTTGCCCAAGGACACAACGGCCTGACGCAGTGGCGGCCGAGGCGGGATTCGAACTGGAGTTCACCAACGCCAAAAAATGAACACCATGCTACAAACAGAAGCAACAGAAAAACACTGCAACATAACTGCCGACATTAAATCAGACAAAGAGAACAAAATATTTTCTATATATGCAGCTGAAATAATCAGTACATTTTTGTGTGTTCATTTACTGCTTTTTTTACACCCATACCACGGTCTACAGGTCACTTAATGAGTGGTTTGACTTATTGACATTTCCGACTTCTCTCCTGCTATGGGAACCTCTCAAGAAGTCACAGGAACAAGTTGACCCTTGATAAGCTTCTGTTGGTCACAACATTCCCAGGATGCACATTTGTCACTGTTTTCTGGCATTCCTTAGATCAAAATTGTTGGCAGAATAATCAACATTAAAATAATCAATGGCATTGCAGTGTTTGTACACACCCATGTTCAGGGAATAGTGTTTTTATTTGGTATTTTTGTGTCCCTCAGGTTACAGATGAAGGTCTGGTGGAGGATGAGAAAAAAGACGAGGAGAAGACGCCTGAGCAGTCAGAAGAAGAAGACAGCATAATAGGTACTGTGGAGACACTATAATACTATTTGTGGTCTATATACTTTTTGTCATTATCCTTATACTGAAAATGTTGTTACCCTGATAATCACGGTTGTTACCCAGCGTCATAATGATTCATCTTTGCATTATCAACCATCATGACTCAAGCTGTTTTCTCCCGTAGTTCCTGCCAGTAAATCCTACACAGTTGCCATCATAAAACCAGATGCTGTTGCTCACGGCAAGGCAAATGAGCTCATTATGAAGGTACGCAGACTGCTCACCTTCTGAAAGACAATATTGCCTCAACCTTTCCTGCTGATATTAGTTCATTAACCCAACGTTAATCCCCTGGCTAGATTCAAGACGCTGGGTTCGAGATCCTGGCCCAAGAGGAACGCACGCTGACTGAGGCTGAGGCTCGAGATTTTTACCAGCATAAAGCAGAAGAGGTATGGAGCTAAAGCTAAAGAGCACATCTCACCCAAACATGACAGAAAACAGTTGACATAAACACATTCTTTGTGTTTGGCACACTCGTCTGTGTGATTAGTCTGGGCAATTAGATTCTGAATAAACATCCTAATGGTAGGGCAGTCACGAACAGTGCAAAAATCATTGCAATTAGTTTGCAATACATCACACTTCCATCTGCATTTCTGCACAGGGCTTAAAATAGGTCTGCTGTGCAAGCAGCTTTTTTTTGTGTTGCTTTTTTTGCTTATCGTGCTGTTTGTGAAGAGACTAAATGATTCCAGATTGAGAAATACAAAACATGAGGAAAGGGGCTAGTTAAAAAACAATGAACAAATATTATAATATATTTTTGATCCGCCTTTCTTCATTCTTTTTCACCTTGTAAATGTAAGGCCTGATTTAAAAACACTTTCTTTGCCTAACATGTGTGTATTCTCTTGTCTCTGTGTTTATGTGGTTTGTAGGCTTGCTTTGAGGAGTTGGTGCAGTTTATGTCCAGTGGTCCGTCCCACGTTCTGGTTCTCTCTCAGGTTGAGGGCTCAGCTAACGTTGTCCCAGCATGGCGGGAGTACATTGGTCCAGCAGACATAGAGGAAGCCAGGAGGGAAAAACCAGAAAGGTTAGTTTGCTGGAAATTATTCTTCATTCACAAAAAGAGTTACAACTGTAAGATCTGGTATGATAAGATCAACCTTAAGTATTTGTAAAGAAGAGCATTTGTGTATTCACACGGTTGATTGTGTGAAACGATCTCAGGCTTAAGGCGGGTAAAGCACATGAACAGCACATTCTCACATGCTCCGTCAGACACACCCAAACATTATGCTTCTCTCTGGTTGAGCACCAGCCGAGCAACCATCTGCTCTCCTCTCCTTTCCCCCCCCCCCGGCTTCCTGCAGCTTGCGGGCACAATACGGCACACAGACACTGTTCAACGCCGTGCACGGCAGTGAGGACATCGACCAGGCCAGCAGGGAGCTCGCCTTCTTCTTCCCCAACTTTAGGACGGCCTCAGCAACGGAGCAGGATGGGGAGGAAGAGCGTGTGGAGAGGACACTGGCTCTTATCCGGCCTGACGTTGCCAGAGAAAAAAGAGGTGGGGTCAGGGCCAAATGCAAACACAAGTTCACACGTATGCGAACGCAGATACACACGCATAAAGATGGTTCATAGTGAAATGGTGGGACTGCTTATTGAGTTCCACATCAAAGGTGTTGAATGAAACATCTGCAGCTCCAGATTCTTTCATTGAATTATCACTATTGGCTATTTACATTATTTTAAAATAGAATATGCCAGTTTATAGAATACATCTAGCTAAAACTAATGCAGTTTAATACAATACAATAACAAACTGCTAACAAAAGTAATCTGCTCAAACTGTTTCAACAAAAACATTCATGATTGTAGGATGTATGACTGCAGTAGCCAAATGTCTCTCTACCTAAACCGGCAAATGATTCATCCATCCATCTTCTCCCGCTTATCCGTGGTCGGGTCGCGGAGGTAGCAGTTCCAGCAAATGATTGTGTCTTTTATTTGTACAATTCTGCAGAGGAGATCTTGGCTCATATCCATAAGTCAGGCTTCACCGTGGCTCTCCAAAGAGATGTGCTGTTGACAGAGGAGCAGGTCAGACAGTTTTACTTCCAACACGTTGAGGAGGACTATTTTCCTGCACTGCTCCGAAGCATGACCAGGTTACACACATATGCTCTAAAAAACATTCTAAAGAGTAGTATGTTGCTGCAGATGTGCATTAAACAAGTGTGTATTTACAGTGGGCCGGTGCTAGCTTTGGCTCTAGGCAGAACGGGAGCTGTCTATCTCTGGAAGAACATTCTTGGTCCCTCTGACGTTAATGAAGCCAAAGATGAAAATCCTGAATGGTGAGTGATGTGAGGCTCTACTCATTTACACACTTCAATGAGTCATGAAGTCGCTGTGGAAACATTACTAATAGAGTTCTCGTTTTTAAATTGATCTGACAGCTATTTAGGAAGAACCCTGTATTTCTTTTGACCTCTTTTTAACCTTGTCAGGTTTTTTCAGGTTATTTAAATCACTAGTGTAATAATAGACAGAAAAGGCTTGCCATTCACGCAGGAGGAATTCAACAATAACAGTTTCTCTTCTGACAGTAGTACAGCCAAAGGCAAAGACACATTTTAGAGAGAACATTTGTTGTAATCTCTTTCTGTTCACTCCAGTTTCTGCCATTTCTTGGAAGGCAATTGGGGAAACCACTAGTTGAAGTAGAAGCAGACAAGGCAGGCTGAAGAAAAGTACAAGAAAGCACACCACGTAGTCCAAAAAGAATTCCATGAAACCCTCAAATAAGAGCTATTAGATATTGATGGTAGCTCCCTGCAGAGCTGACTTCTGTATCCCTCCTCCCTCAGTCTAAGGGCTCAGTTTGCTGTGGAGAACGAGCCCATCAACCAGCTGCATGGCAGCGAGAGCCTGGAAGCGGCCGAACAAGAGATTCACTTCTTCTTCCCTAAACAGAAAACTCTAGCAGTCATCAAACCTGATGCAATGGAGGAACACAGAGGTACCTTTGGGCCATCAAGAACAATATCAAAATGTACTTGTGTTGTTAAAATGGGCATGAATAATGAATATTACATTTTCTATTGACTCTTAACAGATAACATTTTGCAGGAGATCAGGGGCAGAGGTTTCTCTGTAACGCAGCTGAAGGAGGCGGTGCTGTCGAGGGACATGGCTGAGGAGTTTTACAAAGAGCAGAGAGAGAAGCCTTTCTTTAAACAACTGGTGGAGTTCATGTGTCGGTACGTTTGTACCCGAACAGTCAAAAGAAAAGAGCAGTGACCACAGCAAACCTCATTCTGTTGCTTCTGGAAGTTTTAACAGTCATGTTGGCTGCTTCAAATTGAGGCAGCCTCAGGCCAGTTGCTATGAAGTCTGTCTCAATTTCTTTCTTTGTTCCATTGCACATTGAAATATTTGAGTTTTCTTCCGCCCCGATAGCTCTGTTCACTTGGCTGATACAAAGTGCAGAGATATGTGCAGCTGGGCAGTTCAGAAAAACACCTTTACTGTCTCTATCCCTCAATGCTAGCTCAGGTTTAGCCTCATTTTTGTTTCATATTCTAGCCTAGGGGTGGCCTACATGTCTAGGAATATATTTACCTGCAATTCTCCAAATGTATTCACACTGGGGAACGCAGCTTTTTGTAACAATAAAAAAGAGCCATGTTGTAGAGTAATTTCATTATTCTACCAATTAATTTCGGCGTAGAAATTGTGGTGTTGTTTTTTCCATATAACAAAGAGCACACTAAGTTGATAGCCCAAACATAAATAATAAAAAGGTGCAAAGCTCTTTCACCTCTTAGTTTGAAAGTGTTGCATTGACATTGAATAGTTAAGGTTCTTCAGTCAAAAAGCATGTGTCAGCATTCACTCTCATATAAACTAGCCCAGCATGTAAAACGATCCATCACGACTTTACAGCAGCAGTCCTCTGAATGCATAACCAGGCTTCACCAGGAAACAGGTCAAAGAACAGCATTGACACAACATTTGGTCTGTTTTCCTTTCATTGGTTGTTTCAGGGGGCCCTGTTTGATGCTTGTACTCACCAAGGAAAATGCAGTGGAGGAATGGAGGGTCATAATGGGCCCCACAGACCCAGAACAAGCTAAGGAAACATCCCCAGACTCTCTGAGGGCACGCTTTGCCTCCGACATCCTCCACAACTCGGTGCACGGCTCCTCCAATGAGCAGCATGCAGAGGAGAAGATCCGTTTTATCTTCGGTGACATCTGCTCTGACGCAGAGCTCACCGCTGATGGAGGGACTAACACGATCACTTCAGGTAATCATATGATGTGTGTGGCAGTCTCTTCCATCTGGCACACCATCTGCCTACAAATAAACAACAGCACTTCACAGTTTGTTTCCTGTTGCCTTTTATACACCCTTTTTGCTAGAAACGATATTTCACCCAGCTTTAGTTCCATATATCATTGAAAACAAAATTGTTGAAACCTGAGACTTGAAATAGATAATTTGTTTGCAGAGAAAGAGCAGGACAATTCTTCAGATGAAAACACAGGAATGTCCAGATCTTCCACTGAAGAAATGTCTGATAACCATCATGAAGGTATGAAGTTGTTCCAATGTTAAGAGCTTGTCCGTATCTCAGCTATGTCAACATTAAAGTTGCTACTTCAACAACAACAATTCTGGAAAACATTGCTAAAATTGAATTTGGAGGCGAGACATTTGCCAGACTTCTATGTGTTGGAGTTCATACACTTTTTCACCAATGATTTTCAATGACTTTTCCATGACCTTTACCTAATTTTCCATGACCGAAACAATTACTCTTTCTCAGCGGTACCACTGAAAATGGTTTATTTGAACATGGAACAGGAAAATAAGGTCTGCATATGAAACATGTTGTGCCTATCTAAAACACATCAAATAGTAGGCTTACTAGCTTCTACACGCTTAAGCAACTAAAATCTCTCACCACCAAAATACCTCGTCAGTTAAATGCCATTTTACGTTTCATTACTATACGATACAGTATTTATTATCGTTGTATTAATATTTTTTTTTTAAATAATATTTCGGCGATTAGCTAAAATATAAATTATATTTGATGCAACTTTAGTTACATTTCCATGACTTTTCCAGGGCCTGGAATTAGCATTTTGAATTTCCATGACTTTTAATGACCGTAGGAACCCTGATATTCACCAGGATCTTGTGACAAAGGGTGCAGTCATTATAACATTGTCAGGAGTCTGAGTAGCCAGCAAATAGATAAGTGCTTCCAGTAGCAAGAGAGGCCTCTCTTCAGATACAGATAAATGAGGCCATTGATCTTCATAATGTCCCGAACATCAGCTGGCACGGAGTTGTAAAACTGCGTCTAGAGAGAAGTAAATCATGACGGCTGCATTGTGGAGGATCATTTAAATTGGACTGTGTCTATCTTCTCATGATGCCATTAGGTTTGTGTCCTATGGCTGAGGAATGGGAACATTAATATTAATTATTGTCTTAGTGGTCGTGTTTAGATAACTTGAGCTAATTTTCCTCTGTGATTTACAGGTGACCAACATGATTCAGATCCCTGCAGCCCACAGAGAGAAGGAAGTGACGATCCGGAGCAGGGAAACTGAATCATCCTAGTTTCGCTTTTATTGTGGGGCTGATTCTGTAACATAATGGTGAAACACAAAATCTGTCACTATGAATCATGAAACAATAAGACGTGACATGTACAAACTTTAGGTGATGGATCTATAATAAAGTGACCATGTATTCCTTTGCCAGTTAAAAAGGTAGTACTTTCAATAGCCTTAGCTCAATCAAGACTATACTGCACATCCATCTTAGATTGGCGACATTGAACCGTCTGTATCCATTTTAACGATGCAGGCTTGAATTTGTTCCCCGTTTAAAACTGAGAAGATCAGTTGAGAAAAAACGTACTCTTAAGAAATTAACTCTGTATGGATGTCGAGAATATCAAGTTAAAAGTTGTAACACATTTATTAATTTTTTCTCATTTGTCAAAAATATATATAAGTTTGTTCAGTTATTTTACATCTTTTACATAAAGTAGCTCTGAAAAGTCATGATAGGCTTAACACAAGTTGTTTAAAAATGATGTTAACAGGGAGAGTTTCAGAGTCATCTGCTGAAGTGGTCTTTGATGCTCCTCTTGCTGGGGTTCTGTCCGGCCACGCCGTGATGTGGAGCAGAACTGTTTTCAGGCGGGGGGGGCGTCCCAGTCGTCTGCAGCCTCCAGTAAGAGGGCATCGTCCATGTCGTCTCCCGCAGTGAAAGACCTCTGGAACATCTCCATGATGCTCCTCTGGTTAGGGTCCTGAACAAATCCAAACTATCCGGTCACTAAATCCACTGACACCATTTTAATCTAGCTAGGTAAGCTCTGTTGTACTGTGTCGTAAATATGTTGATCCTATTTAAAAAGCGTGAACAGGATTATACATGTTGTTCTATACGGATGCAGAGCTTACCTTAGAGTGGAAGCTGGCGATTACTGCTTTGTCAGAGAGGTTTGACTCAGACAATCCCACTTGCTCCAAGACATTCATTTTCTGCTGGATCATTGGCCTGGATCAATAAAGATATACATTCTTATAAAAGAGCAGGAACAATAAATGCACTCCTTGTCACGATGTGTGTGTCAGACAATCAACGCTGCCTTGAGCCCTTGAGCCCTTGCCCCCCCCCCCACACAGTAGTGAAAGAATTATGAATATGTGAGAAAAAGGACTTTAAAACTCCAATCAGTTTAATTGGGTCTCACTTCCCACTGTTCGACACGTACCACAGGTGTTCATCAGCTGTTCCCTTGGCAACCAGGTAGTGAATGTTCACATTGCTGGTCTGTCCAATACGGTGCACCCTGTCCTCTGCCTGCACGAGAACCTGCAGGGGGGGAAAGCAATTGCAATCTTATTATTACCAAATCTTTATTCAGGTTTAGATTGACTACTGCTCTGCATACAGAACAAGTCAATCAAATGCTGAGTCATTGTTCAGGGAAAAAGCTGCCAACAGCTGAAAATGAAAGATGTGGTTACATATGCAGAGGTCGGGCTGAGTACAAGAATTAGATCATTATGAATTGAGTTTTTTTTATGGATTTGTCTTATCCTGCCCATTTTTAGAAAGCCCCATTGGACGGTACTGCCATTTGTTGTCACTGCAAACTGTTGGCATGAAAAGGGACTGGGACATTCCTGTATTGGCTGGTAACATTCAGTTCATTTTGGATAACAGCAATACAAAGTGTTCAATAAATCACTACCTAACGTTGCAGGTGATGCAGCATGTGTGCAGCCTTGATGTTGGCCACTGAAGGGCAAATAAACATCCAAACACACTGACAGATACAGACAGCCCATTATGTTACACAGATGTAATGCTTAAACTGTTAGCAAAGTATTTATGGATCTAGAATAGACGGCAATGATTTGGCACCGAAGAATGCAAGTCTTACTCCCTTAGGCTTTTTAGTTGCTACATGTTTTGCTTTTTTCAACCACCACTATGTAAATCTTCTCTGTCTGTCATGTTTGGGAGCTACTTCAAAACCTAAGCTTCTGTTGATGGAAAGAAGATACAAACATTGAGTTGAAAAGTAAAATACTAGAAAATAAGCATGTTGCAGTATTAACTTGTTGCTTACCCCCGGGTTCCAGAAAAGCTCAGCGAAGACCACCAGGTCGGCGGCGTGCAGCGTCAGGCCCATGTTGGCGGCCGTGATGGAGAGAACAGCCACGCAGGTCTGAGTGGAGCTCTGAAACCGATTACACAGCAGCTGCCGATCAGCAGAGGATGTGGAGCCGTCAATACGGATAAAACTCACATTCTATAGGAAGAGAAGGAAGAGATTAAAAGCAGACCAGCACAAATCAACAACAAGAATGAACAACCCTTGTGTATTAAAGTCATAGTAGTAGTATTACTAAGCTCAAATGTGCAACCCACTCTTGTTCCCCGCAGCTACTCTCTTTCATACTAAGATTTTGTGGTTATCTAAACATCTGACTCACCTTTTTTCCCAGTTCGCTGCTGATATGATCCAGGACTAACCTATGATGGGCGAACACAAGAAACTTCTCCCTCCCACACTCCAGCATGTCTGTGATGTACTCCCTGGCGGTGACAGACACAACAAAACTCAGTTTCACAGAAAGCAGTTAAATATTTAGTCCTCAAGTGAAAACTCTTTTTTTGATATCTCCAAAACAAGCGCAATCACAATGGCGTGACAAAAGACTCTGATTCATTTGACATTTTAATCTCAGTGCTCATCACATTTAAGCTGATTTGATTTAGTGACTGTGAGAGGGACTGCTCTTACATAATGGCTTGCAGCTTGGCTTCAGCTGTGTGGTTATAAAAGACGAGGAGGGCGTCCTTCTCTTCCTTCTTCTGAAAAAAGAGATAAGGGCAGCACAAGATAAGAACTGACAGTAGATTCTGACTGATGATCTGATGAGACTGCCATTACCCTGAGGAGCAGTGTGATAATAAAGAATCACACTAAGCGACTCAAGTGTCAAAATATTCCTAAAATAAGACTTGCTGGGGTATTCTGGGTCAGTTTGAAAAGCTCTCGTTTGAGTCCCGGCCTGAAAGGACTCTGAACCAATTCATGGAACTTTCTTGGGCTTAACAGCCGTTTTGTTGGCTATATTTGACTTTTTAAATCACAAAGATTACATTTCAAGTAGAACTAACCTTTTATTTTTTCTCGCATTACATTTTATCAACAGGTTTGGGTTTTGAATACTTTGGCATTTAAAAATCCTCTGGTATAGATGAAGAATCCTCCATTACTCTGTCCAACAGAGTCTTTCCCCGTCTTTTTTTCAAACATAATTCAGGGTTGTATTTCTGACAAACTGATGTATTTGTCAGGATTTTACGCATTCCTTGTTTTTGGAAGGTTTGATTGAAGATGTGAGAATTGTAATTTCCCTACACGATCTCTTACAAGGCACAATGAGTAGGATTTAAAAACAAAACAGTGCATAGACTCAAACAAAATCCCTCTGAGTGTGTCCTGCTTTTATTGTTCTCTTTTTCTATAAAAAATGTGGACACGGCGTGAAACATGGCAAATATAGAGAATAACCTTGATCCGAACAGAGAGAATCTGGAGTTGGTTTTCACACTGAGCGGGGAAGAGAGTTAAGTTTGAATGTTTAGTTTACAATCTGCAACTAGAAAGCCTACATTTTGACTTAACTTTAAATTATGTGACTTGATGAGTTTTCTCAAGGACTGTGAGAAACATTGTTAACTTACATTGCGCTGTTGATTGGCCAACTGGTTGGCAGCAGCTGACAGAGCAGCTTTTATGCGGCCGTTGACACCCTCTATTGTCACCGTGACAACCTTGCGTTGTTTAGCAGGAAGCTGCGAGAGGACTTCGCTTTTGAGCCGGCGTAACATCAAACACTCCTCCAGCAACAGCTTCAGCTCTCCCAGGTTAGAGGAGCCCGAGTAGTCCCACCCCCAAGTCGACTGGGACAGAGAGGGAGAGAGGAGAGGACATGGATAACAGAACATATGATGGTGGAAGGAGGGAATGGAGATAAAAGATATGAGGAGAATTTGACAGAAGAACCTCAAGAGTATTTAGACAGAGCCCTGGAGTGTTCATGAAAGCCTTTAATCATGTAGCGTGCTTCCTATTTCCACGGAATACAAATAATTAAGAAGATTAAGTGGCAAAGGCAGAGCAACAAAAGAGTGGAGAAAAAATAAATCAGAGCAGAGGAATCTGCTGACACCTAAAAAACAGTTTCGATATATTTACTGTTCACCAATTAACATTAAGACATTAAGTTTAAGTGAGTGC